AAGGTGCTACGCACCGAAATATTGCAAGATAAAATAGGTTTCGAAACTTTTGGTGTCTTTCGAGTTTTTTGGAATAAATTTTTGGAGTTTCACATTGTTACTACACATTTAGATAAGAAATGAGACTCCGGGACAGCACATTCTTCCAAAAGAGGGGTCTGTTGTGCCTTTGTATGCAAAACTACCGGCTATCCTGAACCATAACGAAAAATTGCGAACAAGCCCTGTCACGTTTAATCCGTGCTTTCTGAATTTTCCTTCGTTCTTTTCTTGATCACCTTTGGTGCAGTGAGTAAGAGCACCAAAGGGCCACCTACTGCCGCTGGCGAGAAGTTCTGAAAGACGGCCCCTCAAAATTTTCCTCTAGTACGACCCTCTTACCATTGCTCACCCTCTTTCCACCTACCATCTTTCCAAATCTCTCTGCTTCCTACAACTTTCTGGACTTTTCCAAACATCAAAAATTCCTCAGTTGAATTCTCTGCCGCCTAGCTGGGAGGGATAGGGAGGAGAAGAGGCAATACACCTCCTTTCCTCTCTGTCCCTCCCCGCATTTGAAACCGAAAAAACCGAGAAAAATTAGCAACCGCGAACATTTCTCCTGAATTTTCCTCGAAGGCAAAAACAACCTCTCTCGCTGGGCTCGCCGGGGTACGACGTTCCCTGAGCACCAGTGCCTTTCACGTGATTTTCCCACCACTCGTCAGCGTTTTATGTGAAAGTTACATATGTATTGTTACACTGAAACCCTGAAAAAAGTGCATACAAAATTTCTAACTCTCACGTAGCTCATTCCCTGAACTAATTGAAAAAGCCCGGTACATTTACGTAACAGTTTTGACGTGTATGTGTCTTAATGAATAATGAAATTGTAGTATTATTTCTATCCAACTGCGTTTTTCGAATTAAGTGAACAATACACTCTCATCAAAAAAGAATTTGCATAGAAATACGCTGTTGAACTCATTTTATTTCCCGGGAGGGCTCTTTTATTATTTAATTGGAAAACTTGTTCTTTTATTCTGTTTTTTCTTTTCACTCATTAAGTTGTTACTCGATTGGGAAACCCTTAAATTGGTTCACTAGTCAAATTGGTAAATTGAGCATATTTATTGAAACGCTTTGGATGAGCTTCATTTCAGTTTTTGACGCTGTCTGGCTGGGAGGGGCACCTCGCACTTTCGCTCACATAATTCGTCTACTAGTTCGTGACTTATCGGACTGGGTACGGCGATGGCATGCAGATCGGTAACAGAAAGCCGTAGGGGAAAACGGAGGGGCACAGTTTATGACTGGGAAAACTTAGCGAAGCGTGCACAGGCCAAGCGGCTTGTAAAAAGAGCAGTTTGTCGACGGGGGGGGGGCAAAATACTTTTGCATAAAAGTGTCGACCGAATCTAGGTATCCTTTTTCTCGAGTTGACTCACGTTTTGCGATGGTGAACTAGACCGATCTTGCTCCAGCTTCACAAGAAGTTCAGCAAATTTTAAGCGCAAGAGTGCGATGTGGGCAAACCGTAAGCTGAGTACAAATTCCGCTCCCCCCCCCCCCGTCGACGTCAACAGTGGGCCCTTGTACCTGTGAATGCCTTTGACCAAATTGGCTCACATACCGCGCACGCGTTTCAGCGGCTTCACAATGTGCGCAGGTCTAGCCAATGTAACAATGCTGAGGCCTAGTCCGCCACGGGGGGAGGGGAATTTCGCACTTTTGGTGCTTCTCAATCCCGTGTGCAACGCCATCTAGAGAGGCCTTTTCTTGGGGTTGACAGCTTTTTACCTAATGTGGCTCTACGAGCTGTGCTTCTAGCCTCAAGGCTTCACATAAAGCTAAGAGTTTCACCAGGGTGAGACTTGCAAAGCGGAACCAGTGAACGCATCGCAGTGCAAAATTCTCCGCCCCCATTCGCCCAAGGTTGCGCAAGAAAATGTTAGTCAATTACAGTAGGACTCACGAAAAGAATAGTGGAGCAGCCAGCACCCCGCTTCTTAGCCGAACAGCCAAGCAGCGGGAGGATATGTCTAGCCTACAGAACCTCGTTCAATTAAAACTGCTTCGTTAGTATATGACGCCGGAGTAGTAGTGAACATCGGGTGACGGGTCCGCCAAGAAGGCGCATTGTAGCAGTTCGCGTCAAATGGATTAATTTCTGGAGGCCACCGATTGGCGGGCGGGGCTTTATTCTTAGCGGCGTTGTTCGCAGTTAACTCGGAATAGAAGTACTTGCGGTAACCTTGCTCTTTCATTGTCCATTTTCCGAAGCCAATTTCTTCGAGACGCTGGGTTTACCGTTTTTCATCCGCATCATGTGTCCGCGCTCACACGAGCAAGAAGAAAGACAATGACGTAGCATTCATTCCGCTGTTGTCCCAACTTCAACCTTTTTGTTGGGCGAAAATACGGGAGATTCTCATTTTTGTTTGTCCCAATATCCAAGGTTTTTTTTTTTTTTCCATGGCGTAATCTCTTCGTGCTGCTGTAATGTCATCCAACTCAACAGTCACGCTTTTTGAGATCGTGCCGGCCTTTGTTCTCACCAACACTCGAAAAGTAGAAGGGCAGAGAGTTCTGCACTTCTTATCATTGCACTCTCATTACCGTTCAAAATGGAGACAGGTTGTTGACTACAACAACCGTAAACCACCAGAAAGTTTCAGAAACCAAAACGAGTTGGGCGTTTAGCGTGCCAGCAGGTGAGACTGTGGCTTCATCCCGAGCCGAGGTGCTTTCCTCACGCATTTTTTAATTGCGAAAGTGGTTCTTCCTAAAAGCTCGCGTACAGGACTGCCTGGACCAAAGAAGGCATCTGATTAATCAAATGATGGAGTAGTAAAAGAGTGTCCTTAAATCGCAATCTCGCCGCATGGAGAAAAATTCTTTTGTTCCGATAATCAGTGTTGTTAGTGATTAGTTTCTGAGGGCAAATTTGCGTGCTATTAACAGCAGTTATCCATAATAACTCAGTATACTTAAGCGGTTCGTTATATATTAATGAATGATAATTTAAATAAAATAATTGCGCGCAGTTTGGCTCGAAGGGGCATTTTGCTGGATCACTGCCAGTGTCTACTGTAGAGACCAGTACGTTCTTGTGAATGTGTGCAATAATAGGAGCTTCATTTACATTCGAAAAGAGTCCACAGGTCTCATCAAGGCGTGACGCTGAGTGGACAGGGAACTGCAAAAGGAACTAGCAAAAATGCAAAATGCCCCTCCAAGACGAAAAGCGCCTAATTTGCCATTGTCAGCGTCGGCTCTAAAGAACTATTTCAGGCGTTCTGATTTACAACGTGGTTGGGCAACACAAGCGCGACGTGTTCGACGTCCGATGAACTCACATTCGACGGCATCTGTCGAGATTCAAACAACTCAACATCCGGTTCCGTTCATTCCGCCTCCAGGTTTGTCCCAATCATTTGGCTATCCCCGTCGGTTACCATAGCGCTTATTATGAGATCCAGGCGAACATTCAACGATCTCTAGCCAACGTTTGATTGTAGGTTATTACTCGGAAGTAATGGCTACGGACTCATCTGCTATGTATCCCATGTATGTACCGCATACTGCATGAATTAGAGCACCTCCTTTGTCGATGCGGGATCCGCGACGCTTTCAGGTGAACCTTTCACACCAATCAATTTCAGAGCATTCAGCCTTCTTTTATACCCGAAAATCAATAGAGCCCACTGTTGCCAGTCCTTTAGCTGGGATGTCGCCACACACTTTCTTTTATTCAAAATTGTATTTATTTATTTTGATGCAGTTTGACCAATACCATCAGGGTTGGTCGTTTTACCGGAGGAGGTCGTATTTGGTGGCTGGAGTCAGGGCGTTCGCAGGGGGGAGGGGTTGTCGTATCACTGCAGAAAAATTTTCCCAGTGACAGGACGTGCATCACGTAGGGGCTGCAAGGGCTAGCCGCCGACCAGCAAGTCAGTGTTTTCATCTTCGTTGATAAGCCTGGTACTACTTGACTCAGTCTCTGGGAATGGAAGGCTTTACTGGCTAAGGTGGAGCCAGTTAGCGCTTTTACCCCCGGGATGAAGAGCTTCTGTTACCACTCCCTCCCTCTCCCTTTGTTCCAAAGGATGCTGAAGTAAAATTCATGGATCAGAGGAGGATATTGGTTGACCTGCCTGGGACTTCCATCCCCATTCCGTATTTGGCACACTTTACAACGGCAACGTTCCTCAGTGCTTGGTAAGTCCTTTTCATGGGAGGAACTGATTCCCAGGCGAAATGCTGTGTGAAGCATAGTCATTATAATCCGTAAGCATCAGGTATAGCGCTGATGACTCAAAGATCATTGGATGACATTCAGATTACTTCCTCGTTACCTTGCACTCGTCTTGACCGTCCTGAGCAGGAAATAGTGTACTCGGGTACAAATCAATGTGGCCCAGAATAGCACGGGAGAGGGAAAAGGATAGTCTTCTCTCCAACCCCATGCGTCCGCAATTCTCTGAAACAAGCAAGTGCAATCTCTTGAGGTGTGGCCGCTACTAAAAGGACATGTGAGGCATTCCGACGAAATATTGCTCTCTCTATAAATGCTCACATTTTGAGCATAATAGAACCCTCCGGGTGTTAAGCTGGCTTTCCATGTGACGCGCAGGCCATTTTGTCTAATGCAGATGGCATTCACTGGAGCAATTACGCAATGACACGTGTCTGTGAGTAACGCCTGACATCCCTTACGACTTCCTCCTCTTCCTGTTCCTCTTATTTACTATGTGACAATGGAGGTAGGGACTCGGTGTTTTTTTTCTAACAATTTTACGGAGCTAGGTGCTATCAAAGGGTGGAAGTGCTCAGTTCCCAAACCCCAACATATACCTTAGTAATCGAATTCAGTACACGGTTCTAAATTAACGACTTCCGGGTTCTGCGGCATGAGCGAGGAGAGTAACGTAAGAATCCCAAACATAGCCTCGCCAATATAACTTTTTTGGGAAAAAGTCACTTTTCTGAGCCCAACAGAGACGACAATTAGTATAGGAGGTGCAGACTTGACTGATCCTAGGCCCTGGATCCCAATCTAGAACAGCATCTGTCCTGGAACGGAGCTTCAGTGCCAGAGCACGTCGTGGAAAACCATCCTTCGGGCCCAACCTTCATCGTGACGCTTTTTTCACGAAGCCCTCGCATCTACAGTTCGCCCCGATGACCGGAGATCCATCGGGGGAGAATGGTTGAGCGATATGGATTTCCTGACGTTTTCTCATGAGTACATGCCCCCCCCAGCGAGCCAATCCTTGGCTTGCTTCGCGAAGCCAGAACACCCCCTCAACTGAGGATTGCCTCGCGCGAATCCGAATGGCCTGCCTGGTGTAGACAGTTCCGGATTAAAACCTCAATTCAAGCTGTATCGGCAATCGCGCGTTCACACCACGGCTTAATTGATTTGCCGCGAAGAGCTACAGTGAGGCGGAAAAATTCATCTCCTACTTCAAATCAATAACTCCTTGTGAATTCGACTGCTAGAAATCTGATCTAGGTGGCATTTTGCGTGCACCTCCCCCCTTCGATTCACTTTTGTCCCGCTTTTTTTATTTTGAAAACTTTCAGTTTTTTCCAGCTTCTATATTTAACCAAATATTGATGACATTTATTTCAGGGACTTCCTGGTTTACAAGCACCTCCACCATATCCACCACCACCTAGCTATAGCCAAATTCAAAACTTTCCCGAACTGCCTACGGTCAGCAACGCTCGGTTGGACAATCGCACGCCGTCACGGAATGGGAAGAAGTCCGAGATTACACCGGTTGAATAGTTTTCTTTGGAAGTTCCGGCGCTTTTCAGCTTAGGAGGGGCATTTCTCTAGTTCGCTAGTTACTTTAGTGGTTCCTTTTCATTTACACGTCTTACCTCGGTGAAACTTGTAGACTCTTGTCAATACTCGTGCTAATGCATGGCCTAACAAGAGTTGTCAGGTCTTCATAGAAGGTATCGGCAATGATCAACAGTAACCACCAATTGCCCCCACCAAGCCGAACTGCCCCGAGGTTATTATCGATTTGCTCCTTTGCATCATATCCGCTGTATCTTAAGTGTACAATTGATAAGCTCGAAGTCACAATGCCTACACTAACTGGGTTCGATTTAACTTACATTTGACAGCGTAGGTGACGAAACAGCCCAAGGATCTTATTCAAATTATCAATACCATTCCTACGGGTGATTTTTCAGATCGATTTCTGATTTTCTGATTACTTGTTCTCTCTCTTTGCTAACACCAGATTCACTGATAAAACCTCACTACGTGACGCAGACAATCGTATAGCAGTAGAGTAGTGCTCGTAGCATTTGTTCTCATCGCTCGCCGCGCGCGACGGTATTGCGTCGCGGCTGGATCGTTGCTCGCGCTATTCCACCGAAGTCGGCGACGTCATAGAAGAATAGGGTTCATAGTGGCCCGGCGATTTCCAGCGCAGCTTTGAACGATGTCCTAACTACTGTTCCCCAATCTCTGTTCATTATAACCTACTTAGTGGGAGATAACCAATACCTATTGATTTCTTATTACTTTATCACTGAAATGCCAAATCCCGATTTGCTCTGGTATTGTGTTATTGATTTCTCATCGATTTGCTTTCTCATAGCTGTTGTTCGATCGATTATTCACGGGTTCAATTCGATAAAAATATGTACATGTATTTGAGAATGTGTATGTGTATACTCCTTATACCTGAGACGGAGTAGGCGTGGCATCTAAGCATGGCCTAGAATGGGTTGCTCGTGGGATATTTCATTTGAAACAACTGTCATCTTGCTTCGGCGTTGGACAGAGAAGTGACTACGATTGTCGAAATGAAAATATCTCGCCAAAGCACATTCACCGCCACGTTTAGTTGAAGTACGCAGCCACGCCTACCGCATCTCAGGGATTTCGAACGTATAGATGTTCATCACAAAGTTCAACCACAATCCACGGTGATCGTATGGGCGGAGTCACGCCTTCTGCCGTGCCTCCCTTACTGGGTCGCTCCTCTTGTCCGCCGTCTGAGAAAGCAGACGTAAGAGGACTGAGTCCTTCATGGAATCAGCGTGATCTGTGCCTTCTCAGGGACTTCGAGCTCAGCTTCACTTAAAATTTCAACGTTCACCCCCCCTCCCCAATCAATTCAAGGGTATAGCGCGTTAACAAAGCTTATTTTCAGAAAAGTTTCATTATGATAACTACTTTTTGAAGCCGCAGTTCGCGTTTCGGGAGTTGCCACAAGAACTGGTTCAGGGGCAAGAGTCAGACCTCAAGCGGAACTCGAACCCGCACCTAAGGCTAAGAGCGAACATGGTATCGTAGTTACTTCCTGGTATGCGTGAGATGCGGGTTCAAGTAGCCCCTGAGGCCTCTTTTGCTCATGACTCAGCCCATACTTCTTTTTTCGATGCTTCCCTCTGGTGCTCTGGCTTTCACTCAAGCTTGTAGTTGTCCTCATGAGCCCATATACCTCTGAAATAAATCGCAGGCAGGTGTTTTTATCACCTCTGATGGTTCTACTGTTGAACCGATAGATGCTAGCTCCTGGACAGATGGAAAGTCCAAACGCGGATTGGGTGAAATTTGCCTCTTGGGCTATGGGAGTAGTATGGCGTCATTTCCTGACGCCTGGAGAAAGCCTACGTGTAGTGAATAAATAATTGAATAGATGGCAGTGTGAGTAACTAGAAGCGCCAATTACCATTTACACAGTCCCCCGAATCGATTTCCGGCTTCCTTCCTCATAGTGTCCGACCATGATGAGATGCTTTGGGAGGGAGCAAAGCAACCAAGCCATCGTGCTGGTGCGTAGAAGTTATCAGACGGAGCTCTTAGTGTGATTCAACGACAGGACTGAAGGCAGTGAGGGCACGATTAAATCGCCTGAGCGCCAGGCTTTAATACGGCCTGAGCGAGAACCTGATGCCGGGGACTTGACCTTCGATGCGCGGCAACTGTGAGGGGCACCTCTGACACGTCACCATCTGCACTTTTACTTCGGAAGAATTTGTAAGGAAAATTTATAAGGCTTTTCAAGTCTCATGCTATGCTACTATCCACAGCAGGTGCCATTTGCAATGACGTCTGATACGAAGGTTGTGGCTAACTCCAGTCAGCTGTCAGCAATCACCTTGAATCAGACCTCATTACTGCACCTGGCTTTGCGTCACACAGACTCTCAATAACATCGTTATACTAAGGATTCCAGAAGAATACCTCATATGCTTTCGTAACCCATTAAAAACGACGGCGACGAGTTCTGAAAGGATAGTTGGAAGCGTTGGGAAAATACGTCAGTGAACTAAAACTTGAAGGCAGAGTGAATGCCTTGAAACAACTGAAACTTAGGGTGAAAGACATGGGCAGAGAAACATGCGACGTTGCGCCCACATGTAGGATGTGTATTTTCCGCAGGGCACGTCGTACGTTGAGGTTCCCAGCGAAGTGGGCGGTAACTGGTCTCTAGGGGGGGATCTACATCAAAAGGGGAAACCTCAGGGGGAGGGAATAGTTTGCAGAGCTTTCCCCCAACAGCGAGGCACTGGTTTTTACAGTCTCGAGTCGCTATGAGCAGCCGAATTGAGGGAGGTGGCTTGTTGCATAGTTTCGGCGCGGGTCACATTGTATTAGACGGCTGAAAGCATGCCAAAGAGAACATACATATAGGTGTGACACAACTCGTCCGGGTCACTATTTTGTCATCCGCGCTATTGATGCGGAAAGGCACGGTTGGAGAATGTATGGGTGGCGAGCAAAAACCACTGTTAATTGCTCTATTGACGTGCCGTGCTGTGAAATCGAGAAAGAGGCATAGTTAGGCACGAGCTCATCCGACGCCGGGAGACTGCGTAACTGAGGCTTGCTATGACAGTGAGCATTGTGCTCATATGACGATTCGTTCGGCACGATTTATCAGTGAAAAAAGGAAGTGCAGAAAGGCGCTCCATCGTGGAGCGGGGTCTCATGCGCGACATTCACACCAAGGTCCAAAAATTTAATGTGTTCTTTGCGTCAAAACGTGTTAATTGGTGGAATGGTGGTCTCCTATTTTGCGCGCGATATTTCCACTCGGAACTAACGCTGTGCACCCAGCGAATATTAAAACTATTCTAAATTCTAGATTTATGTGGTGCAGCGTACTATTTTGCGAAAGCAAACAACTGCTGCCCAAAGTTCTGTCGGTGCACTTTGGCTTGGGGGGGGGGGCATATAGCACTTTCGCTACTTCCCATCGTTGTGTCGAGCCGTGAAGTAGAGATCTGTGGAATCTTGGGCCATTAATTGATATTTGTGAAGACTGCTTGTTAACACTTGTGAAAGACACCTGTCAACCATTGGAAAGCAGCGAACACAACGATGGTAGGAGTAGAATGCCCCCCTCGTCTCCATGCCTAATCATAAGTGCGCTGTTTTGTTTTCCAAGAAGAGAGGTTGCTTGAGCAGTGCAAAATGCGTTGATTTTTCCTGAAACGCAGATTGAGACGCCTTTCGCATTCAGAGTGCCGTTTTGGAAGCCATACAATGGCCTCATGACTTTTCAATGAATATAGGCCCCCAAGGCGCAGTTCATGTGCCATAGAGGATGTGGGACGCACATGCCTCCGCAATGATGCATTTGCTTTGTAACGTGAGGTAGAACACGTCCAGTGAGGGTGACAGTAATCTGTCTCCGCCTATACGGCCAGCATGGACTCTGTCTGGGAGGCTTACGAGGACACGAATCTTCAAAACCATTCACCGTTTCACCCACCGCTCGACGTACTTCACTCACGGTGGGTTATCTCTATCAGAGTATCTTTTTAGAGAAGATGGCTTAGTGAGGCTCATTCGAACTGTGGATTGTAGTGTCTGAAAGGCGGTCTGGTTTTTCAAAGGAGCTCTGCCAGCATGGCGAAGACGTGGTGAGTTGATGGCTGAGCAGATGTTCGAGTGATCATTGTAGATTGGAAACGCCTTTACCTCTCCTTTTCAGTTCCGAGGATCTTGTTACGCCTTTTCTTACAAAAATGTTGGGACCAATGCAGGTTCTGAGCACAAATTTGAAATGT